GACTATTGGCCCAAACGGTGACGAGCGGTGGCGACCCGTCCACCGGTCAACTGGCGCTCAATTGTCTCCTATTGGTCAGCTGTGCGGCCACTGAACGCCAATTGGACGCCGCGCTCACCGACGCCCTGATCGCCGAGACTCAGCTCATTGTACACATGATTAGTGACATACTGTGCGGCGAACCCGACGACCAGTACTTCGGCATTTTGGTCAATCTCACCCGATATGAGTCCACTGTTCAACAGATCTACAAACTGTGTCCCAAAGACTTTCTCCACAAACTGTCCACTCTATTGGAGGCCAATGAGTTGGTCTCCGCACTCATCGCGAACCTCAGCCAACTGGAGGACGTGCGACAGGCGTTGGCCGCCGACCACCCGTCCCAATACGTGCCGCAACTGTTCGCCGCTTACGACCGGTGCCCCACTCGGCCGCAGGTGCGCAACGCCATCGTCTGTGTGGTGCGGAACTGTTGCTTCGACACCGATCTTCACCCGAAACTGCTGGACCCGCGCAATGAGCTGCTCGTGAGGCTATGCCTACCCGTCGCCGGCGCCGAAGAGTTGTCCGACGAGGACAACGCCAAACTGCCCATCGATTTGCAATATTTAGGCGCCGATAAGCGCCGCGAAGAGGACCCAGAGATACGCAAACTGTTGATGGAGGCGCTGCTGATGCTGTGCTCGACCCGATTCGGCCGTGAGGTGATCCGCGACCACAATATATACGTCATTCTTCGCGAGTATCACAAGTGGGAGAAAGTGAGAGAAGTGCAGAAGGCGTGCGAAGACGTGGTCGACATTATCATCAAAACCGAGGACGAGATCGACGTCGACGACATCAAACGGGTCGACATTCCCGACGATTTGATCGAACGGTTCAATCAAATGGACAAAGACTTACTCAAAGAGGACACCGATGAGGAAGAAGACAAGGCTTAACACCTGTTGTCACCGTTTTATGTGACAATAAATTAATTTTATTTTTTTGTTTGTTTTTTTCGGTGACTTTCATATCATGAGAATTATCTTTGTTTTACAATTGTTTTTTATTATTTGTTTTATTTTGTTTTTATTATTTTTTATATGAAATAATATATATCATGATTACTGACCATTTGTAACCATAATTGATCTCTTCCTGTGTTCCCGAAGACTAAATGTTTTTTTCAAGTCATATATCGATCGCAAGTGAATGCATGTCTTGTAATCCCAATTATGATATCTTTTTTGCAAACAAAACCATTTAATGAAATGAAAATAAAGTCTATTTTGAAAAATCAATGCCTATTTCTGTGTCTATTTTTCAGTAAATTCTTACCAATTGATGGTTTGAAATACGAGTAAAACTTGCAAAAGACTATCGTTTGTAATTGATTTGTGGTCTGATAAGCAATCATACGGTGTGTTAATTATGATAAACAATTATCACTGATTTATCGACCGTTTCATTAGAAATGTTTGGCAAACATATAGATAACGTTTAGGCATATAATGCGGCACTTTTTCTGGTCACCACATAATAACAAAAGTGCATTAATTATATCTAATTCATCATAAGCTCTGTTATGAATGCATTTGAGATAATAATCTAATTATAAGTCAAACACTGCACACAAAATACAATATAACGAGAATATTAAATAATATTTTAATTAAAGTATAAAACAATGGACTAAAGCTTTTTGGCAGTAGTTTTTTTTGTCGGACTTATATTTTCGGAGTTTTAGACTTAAAATCAATAATATTTTGACATTTTGATGGAAACCCGATATACGATACCATTGTTTGCATACTTAATGGAAAAATAGTTTTTGTGATTACAATACACTACTCGTCGATACATTTATTATATAACATTATAGTGAATAATACGTGAAATAAATTGAAACATTATTTTGCGGCTTAAGTTAATACGAAATATCAAATTATTTTTTATTTTTTGGCAATTTTTAATACAAGTTTGTTTTTTTCGGACAAATTATTGTTTGTAATAAATATAAATAATAGTATAATAAGTAATAATAATAAACAATTGGAATTACATGTAATAATAATAAAACATATAAACAATAATTAAATTACCGAGAATTTAATGAAAATTTATTTATAATCGCAAGAATGTATAAAATATAAAGACATTAATAAAATAAACATAAAAAATGGACAAAAATATAATAGAAAATGTATAATAAAAATAATAATAATAACTAAACAAATATAATAAGTTTGAACAACACTTGAAATTTAAAATAAGTAATTTAATAATTAATTTGTTATTTCTATAAAACAATGATTATTGATGTGATAAAAATCGTATTGATTTTGTTTTTTCCTCGTTTTATCCCATAATAATTAATAGTAATAATAATAGTAATTATAATTAATTACATAATTATAATAATAATATCAATTTAACAGCAGTTATGGTATAAATTCTGTTATAGAGAAGAATATTATTTTGTTTAAGAATATTCTACAATATATTTATTAAAACCTA